ATTTGTGAGTTTCTGAAAACAGCAAAGTCATCGGTATTTACGGTGGTTTCAATGTGTTTTACATACCCAAGAAAGACGGAGGTAGATCATGTGGGGGGGGCTGACCATATATATATATATATATGTGCATACCTTATGTATGCATGTGTGCGTGTATGTTAAGCAAGTATAGTAAGTGAGTAAGTGCACTAACATAGGTTTCAGGCAATTCACTGAACAAACGTGTTGTTGCACACCTGGGCGTGCACCCGCCCAATCCTCACTATCCGCGAAGCCTGACACCCAAGCTTGAGAGGCATCAGTCTAAAGAAACTGACAAGGGCATCCACGCTTGCTGTTCAGTGAACGTGCTGAGATCAGGAGATTGCTCGGATCTCATGGTCCACTCTCTTGCAGTGGGTGCCTGGCCTGCAAGCATCGGCAGTTCGGATGCTTTTTTTGCGAAGCAACACCTTAAGTCACTAGTTTTCCCACAGGTTCAGCACTTGGAAGACCTGGCCGCAGACTTCAGGCAAGATGCCCAGCAAAGAGGCTGACTTCCTTCCGGTCGGCTGGGGAAGGAATCCCGGTAAGGGTTTGCCATATTGCCTGGCCCTTCAACTTGCGGCAGAATCTTTGTAGCTGCAGGTATCGGTCCGTGACAGCAGCGTTGAACCGGGCCCTGCATCAATGGCGGAAGAAGCAGGCGAGGGCGCCCAGAGAGAGCAGTGACGCTGCAACACATGGGGTATTATGCTGAGGTTGCTGGTTGTCTGTAGGTTGAAGAAGGCACTGCTTCTGTGAACAAGTTGCATATCTCGGGTCAAAATATGTAGGGCGATCAGAGGCCACACCGCGTCAGCAGCAAGAGGGCGTGGACCTGTCGATGATCATTCAGTGGACTTGGCCAGCTCCCCGGCACCCAAAGCCTCTGTCGTTGGAGTCCATCTGAGCTTCTCGGACTGCCTAGAATGATTGAGCATTCTGCCTAGATTCGGCTTGCAACCACAGGCCGGACGTGACTGAAGAGAAGATCGCTGACATGATGCTGTGGGCACGATGCTCAAATGCATGCCTTCTGTTCGATTTGGATGAAAGCTCTCACATTCATAGCTGGTCACAGCTCCATCTATGCGGCAGCTGTGCACAGGCATGTCTCTCTCTTTCTGCTTTGATTCGCTCTGCCTGCCCCATGCCCTGGGCCAGTGTCCCAACCTGTTCAGCTTTACTGCTGGTGCTAAGATCTTCGAGATTGAGCTGAGCAAGTTCAAGCAGCCAACACCGCGGCTGATGGATCCACACGACCGTCGGATTCTGGAGGCTGGGAGTGTGCAAACTGTCCTTGCTTCACTGAGAGACTGAAGAGCTGTGCTTGTCGTGCTCTGGCAGTGGCTGTTCTTCTTCTATTCTTCTGTGCTGCTACTGCTACTGTGTTGTTCCCGTTGTTCAGAACATGCAGCTGCAGTGTTGCAGATGCATTTGTAGTTGCTGGCGCGGAGGGGGGCGAGCGTATGGATGATGTCACAGCTGAGGCCCTGTTCCGTCGGCTGGACGACAAGAACGTGGGCTCATGCTCTCCGGAGGATGGACTTCACTTGCAAATGGCCTTTCGCATCGCTTGTGACAACCTCCTTGCATGTTGAAAGGACATCGCTGGCAGCAAAGAAGAAGACGAGAACGAAGGGCACAACGTGCCTTAGACGCAAAGTGCTGAGTGACTTCGCTTTGCTCTTTCTGAGCCCATCATCAGCTCCAACAAGATTAACTGGTCTAGTTGCTTGTGGAAGCGGTGCAGGACAAAATGAAGAATATCGTGGACGTCGATACGGTGAAGGCCACATCCGGCGGATCCACTTAGACACCCCAATGCGGTTACAGGCTTCGTCCCGTGTCGCCTGTGGAGGCCGTCGTCGGCCAAGAGCGCGTCGAGCTGCTGCCTTTCTTGGAGCTCCGAGCTAAACTGACCACAGCTGAACATGCCTAATGCGTTGACAATGGACAAGAGCCGAGATGCTGCCATCCTTCAAGCTTCCTTCCCTACTGCCTCCGCCACTAATAGCAGCTTAGGCTGATGTGCGAGAGTGGTGTTCGAGCCCATGAAAATGCCACAGAGGTGCTCTCTGACTCGTTGCTCTGTGTATCCTCGGTGACTGCATTTCTCTGAAGATCTCAAAGCACAGGGGGAAGAGGCGCAGGGAGTTCATACGTCTCGAAACAAGACCCTTGCAGCAGTCACTACAGATCAGATCCTCTGCGACTCGTGCAAATGCCCCACCGACCGTCATCAGACATCGGCAAGACAACAGATCGGCCGGTTGGTCTTTGTGGCACGCTCGCGTACCGAGCCAGACGTTAGCACGGTGAGGACAAGGCAGTACAGACTCGGGCAGAGAGAACTGATTCAACAAAGCGATGTGTTGAATTAGATGACCGCCCACAGCTGCGGAGCATTGCAGCTGGACCACAATGATCCACAATGTTTTCCGCAAGAAGAACGTGACCCAACGAGGTCCAGCAGGCCCCATGTCCGCGTCATCTGAATATTGACGGTTGATGATCATTGCTGTGGCATGCGACAAAGATGTGACCTCGAGACATTTTGTGGATTCCTATGTTGTGTCCTCGCCGATGTGTCGGCCTCCCGGGTAGTTTTGACTTTGCCGCTTCCATCATCCGTCTGCTGGTTGTCACTTCGACTTCCCGCCTGTACGGCCTACCTTGAACTCCAGCACCTAACTGCCTAACTTTCACGTCCCCGAACGGGACAGACGTAGCTGGGGCTTCGAATCGTCTGAGTCGCAGCGTGGTATTCTGGTTCAGCTTCGCTCGACCGACCTTTACCGCACCTGCAAGCACACAAGTTGTGAAAGCTTACGCCAGCCACGTTGTCGGCGACAGACGGGTGCGGGCTCCTCGCTCGTGACTCTCTGTAATGGTCGCCAAAGGCATCCTCGTGGCTTGACGGCTTAGCAAAGACGGGTCCCCACTCTGCTTGGGTCCAGACATCAATCACTAGGTTTGCGTCCTGGTCAGGTGCTGCTTGACGATGGGCGCAAGCTCGTGCTTCAGTACCGACGGGCGGCCTGAAGCTTGGACAAGTCTTGGACACATGACCGTTGCTGTCGGTCGTCACCTGCCGTCCGAAAGGCGCTTAGAGATATTTCGATTCCGGCGATTTGCACCCTCCCGCACTATCCCGCACTACCGTAGATCTCGGAGGATCTCGGAGGGTGGTCTGTCAAAGCAAATCGAGTATAGCGAGGAGACGAGGGAGCGAAGAGAAAATAGTGAAATGGGCAGCAAGAAGCCAAGTCATGCCAAGTCGTTCCCAAATCGCAGACCTAAGCCAGGGATTTTTGAACACGAGAGGAGGGCGAAGCGACGAGAGAGCCTTCAGGTGACGGGTCCGGCTAGCAAGCATCCCTATGCTCATCAGATGCCGTTGCTCGTTGCCTTGCGTCTCACCGTCGCTTGTCTTGAGGTCGACAGCAAGGTTTGGGTTTTCGACGGGACACCTGCAGACGAGGACGTGTTGCAGAGCATTGAACAGATGCATGTAGGGGCAAATGGGTAGAAGCTGGCATTCCACGGTGGAGGTGGTGCTTCACATCATGAGGAACTCGCAGCTGTCAGGAACAGCCTCGCCGGGTCGCGACAGTCTTCGAGGCTCCAAAGATCTGGTAGAGTTCCTTCGTGCCATTTCGTGCCCTTCTGGTTGAATAAGGCAAAGATCATAGCTGCGTGCTTGCGTGCTTCCTCAGGCTGAGGTCATCCGCTGGAGAGCTCTGGTCAGGAGCTTGATCATCTGCGTGCTTTCCACGCGCAGCACAAGCTGTTCTATTCTCCCACGTAGTTGCAGTCAAGCACTGCAGTAGTGAAGACCATCCCTGAAAGATGCGACTGGGACCGGACAGAATTCACAACCGTGAGCGGGGATCTACGCATTTCACCGACCGTTTGATCCTAAATCTAATGCGAAGGTTGGTCGAGAGTCCTCAGCGTTGGAGGTCGTACAACCCCACAAGAGCTTGCTGTCCGGACCCGCTGGACTTCTGAGTCTCAGCATTGACGTGGAACTGACAACACGCCAGTGCAAGGTGCCGTAGTTAGCTTTCAAACACCTGACCTTTTCTTCTGACCGAAACGGCTCCGTTATGTATAGTCTCACAGCACTGAGGCACAGGCCACACAGCGTGCGGAGGCCCAGGCGGCCCAGGAGGCCTTACTGGCCCAGCAAAGGAAGGAGAGGGAGAAGCAACAGAAGGAAGCCGGCAACGGCAAAGAGACGCAGGCGACATCTCTGGGTCAAGTCCATGCCAGTTGTGGAAGCTTGCCGAGATCACTTGTGCAGATGTTGTTTGCTGCTTCCCATGCTGATGCATTGCCAGGAGGAAGAGGAGGAGCTGGAGCTTCAGATGGTGTCTTCAGACAGTGCCCCACGGCCTTGACATACTAGACATACTACAGAAACAAAGACGACGACGACCACAGACTACGACCAGTACACTACTGCTCTTGCTTCTACTACTACTACTACTGTTACTGCTACTGCTACTGCTACTGCTACTACTACTACTACTACTACTACTACTGCTACTACTACTAGTACTACTGCTACTGCTACTCCTACCATCACTTCTACTACTACTACTACTACTACTACTACTACTTTTACTACTACAAGTACGACTACTAGTACTACTAGTAGTACTACTAGTACTACTAGTACTACTAGTACTACTAGTACTACTAGTACTACTAGTACTACTAGTACTACTAGTACTGCTACTGCTACTGCTACTACTACTGCTA